TATCCAGAATTAATTTTAGAAATTAATTTCCTTTTCTATCAATTAAATATTATAATTTCGAGATAATATTTTATAAAATCTCAAATATTGGGAATATTAAAAATTATTTTTGGAAATTAATTATGGTCTCTACACCATTAAATATATAAATCCGAAAATAATACTTTGTAAATTCTGAAAATTTGATTTTCAAATTAGTAAAATCAAAACATGCATTCTGGAATTTATTTATTAATTTTTGAAAAGTAAAAGTATTTATTTCAACTTAAAATTCCTATTTAAAAATTAATGCCTATATTTACGGTAATATCTCATTTTAAAATTCTGTAAATTTCAAAATGTATTTTTGAATATTTTGGAGTCTTAATATATTTTTAATTAAATTATTTGATAGTTTAATTATTTGTTTTAGACTTGTAGTTTATTTTCCTATAGAATAAACTAGCTTTGGGGCGAGCGCGATTCGCCCGGTGTTTGCTTAACTTTTTACGTGTGGTGTATGATTGTTATGCATGGTGTATGGTTGTGGCTTAGTATTATTATTTTTAAATACGGCATGCATGTCGTGCATTATCTCTTTATTTTTGGATGTAAATCTCTCTTGAACCTCATATCCCTTGCAGGTAATTATTGATATATGCATTTTATGTATAAATGTATGTATACGCTAGTGCATGAGCGCGGCACATGTCATAGGTAAGACCATATTTAAATCCCTCATTTTATTAAGTTTGTGCCTTCCGACACCTGCTCACTTGTCAAGGCCAATTTCGATCAGTAGCGGACCCTTGGGGTGTCCAATTTTTGGGCATAACACACGTGCCCCTGGGAACAAAAGCTCATACTGCTGGTCGGCAAACGGGCGGCAAGTCCAAGCATCGATCCCAAATTAGAGAAATTTGGCTAACCGAAATCCAACCTTCCGAGAGTCGACTCAGCGAGGACGGTTTCGATGGTTCGCGGGATTCTGCAATTCACACCACGTATCGCATTTCGCTACGTTCTTCATCGATGCAAGAGCCGAGATATCCATTGCCGATGGGCTCCGCCCGATCGGCACTATTCCAACTTCACAGGAATTTATATTTATTTGTGTTTTTTCATAGCCTATATGATAAAATAAAATATTCTTGTCACCACTTGTTATGTTGAACTTTTGATGTAGTTTTTAAATATATGTATGTTTTATTTTTTATTTCTATACCAATATTTAAATAAAACAGATTGAAAAAACTTGGGATTTTTCTTCGTTTTGCGAACCGGGAAGATCATTATAGGACGGATGGAGTTTATATTATCATTGAAATCGATTGAACGAAGATGACCAGGTGTGTTTTCTCATTTTAAGTTGTGTGATTTGCATGGTTTTAATCTTTAAAAACATAACATGTATCGAATGATTTGGAATTGGGTTGATCTTGTGTGTTGCATGATGGTAAGTGAACGGTGTTTACACCCGACACAGGCCGCTAATTGTTGAGTATAAATGCTTATCTAGTTTGTTGTGATCTTGTGTGAATATGGAAATATGAAAGTATGAAATCTGAATACGGATAGGCTACCTAGCTGAACTGTAGGTAGACCGAGAAAATAGAATAAATATACATTTAGGAATATATATATATATATATATATATATATATATATATATATATATTTACTTCCATGTATGTATTTATTTCCTTGTAAGTAATTATTTCCATATTTGTATTAGGGCTTGGCCCGCAGCCCAACTCACGTGTATATATACATTGTGAATATTCAATGAAAAACCAATTCAGTCTTTCACAAAATTCTACATGGTATCGGAGCCAATTTCCTGAGAATTTCTCAAACCCTAGGCTCGTTTTTTTCTCGCACGGTGCGGCCACCGTAGCTACGCCGACCGCCTCACGACGGTCGTATGCTAACACTGGTCATGTGATGAGCCGGCGTGCACGCATGATCAGTAGGGTAGAGCGTGCGCACGGAGATCGTAGATCTGCTCATGGATGTGAGTAGGTGGTCCCACCCAGCCGACGTTGGATAACGTCGTATTGAACGGGTTCTTCCATGGATGTGGTTGAATCAGGACTCTAGAATAAAAAATTGGCCTTAGTCTAGGATAGGTTATGAGCTTAAAAATAAGGAAGTTGATCATGAGGTTTGCTTAAGGATTATGTGTCAATAATGCCTAAGGTATGAATGAGGTAAATTGGTAATCCAGGTAATTATGTTTGATTTATGAATTATTTGATACTAATGATGTTATTGATGTGTACTTGTGTGCATGATATTGTATGGAATTATGAGCTAGTGGGTTCGTCTATGTGCGTAAACGAAACGTTAGATATTACTAACTTAGTTTCAATCCTGAGCGTGTTGCCCTTTTTCTTATTTGCTACACGTAGGTAACAGAAACGATGAATAACGAAACTATCTTGGAGGGCAGCGAGGGCAGAGAGGAGGATGGATGTTGGCTGGAGGAGTTTATTTGATTAAAATATTATGTTTAAATTAATTAATGTTTTTAAGGGCAAGAACCCAAAGTTGTATTTTGAATTAAGTATCTAAAGCTTCCGCACCGTTTTGATTAACTCCGATGGACATTTAAATATTGTTTTGAATTGAACGTTTTAAATTCTTTGAAAATTATTATTATGTCTGAATATCAATTTCTGCAATCGTTGCCAGAATTATATAATCAGTTTTTTGTTAATTATGAGATGCGTGGACATGATAATACTTTGTCCGAACTCTTAAAGATGTTACAAACTGCTGAAGAGAGTCTTACTAAAGGAAAAGATAGTTATGTCCTTGTTTAAAGCGGAAAGGGTAAGAATAAGAAGTTTAAGAAATTTGGAAACAAAGGCAAAGGTAAAACCAAGCCTGAATCTACTTTTTCTAACCTTAAGCCAAAAGGTGGAGTAGCAAAAGACTCCATATGTCATCATTGTGGCAAGCAAGGCCATGAGAGGAGGAACGGCAAAGATTAGCTGGCTTCCAAGAAAAAAGAAGGGTGACACCTCTGCTTCAGGTACAATTGTTATTTGAACATGACAAATCTACAATCCCTTGTAGGTATATGATACTTACAAATGCAAATCGTTGCAAGGACTAAAGAAAAGTAGATGGTTGGCTCGGGAGGACTGAACATGGTTGATTAATGGGCACAAGTCTTGCATTTCTGATATCATGTTTCAGTTTTTATCATTTGATCCATTTTTCAAATGATACTTATTTTATACTGTTTTTGTTTAAGAGATATTTTATACTGTTTAAGAGATACTTGTCTTATACTGTTTTTGTTTAACAGATATTTTATAATATTCATTTTTGTTTATTAGAGTTTCATTATTGACAAAGTACAAACTTAAGTTATAAAATTGGTACATGAACTTGAAATGCATTAGATGCTAAAATAAAAGTATTGTTCACTTTTTTTACACTTTTCATATTAAAAAATCTTATTTCTTATTTTAAATTGGACTAGTTTTAAAAAAATTGTTAAAAAAATACTCCCTCCATCTCATTTTATAACGCCTGTTTCGGTTTACGATGTTTGATTGAAATTATTTTTAAATCATTTTATATGACAAATGATATATAATTAAAAAATAAAAATTACATATTAAAATACTACATCAAAAGATCTACAAAACTAGTAGTGACAATAGTACTTTATTTTATCAATTTGCTAACGAAAATTGTGAAAGAAAGTGAATAATGTTTGACCCTGTAAATAGTGAACAAGCATTATAATTTGGGACGGAGGGAGTATTACTTTTGAAATAAATATTAGGGAGTAGTAATAAAGATTGAATAATTTCAAGTATAAGAAAAAAAACTTTAAAACTATATTATAATATTATATCAAAAAAATGTTTAAAAAATAAATTTTGACCGGTCTACCATACCAATCCAGACTGAAACTCGGGAGACCAAATGATATGAAAATAGATTAGTTATAGTATTTATTAATTAGTACTCTTTATTATTATATTGTTAATCATGCTTAGGGTTTAGTACGGGCCCAAGCCCATTAGGTCAACTAGCGTAGCTTTACTATCTATATATTGTTATTAAAACCCTAATCTTCTTCTCTATTCTCTTGGAGCCCAAAAACGCTCGACGTTTTCCATCTTTCTCTATCTCATCTTCTTGGAGCTTGAAGAACGCTCGGAATTCTTCCCTATCCGATACGATATTCGTATCAACTGGTGTTTTCATTCTTTAAACTCATCACATATCCAAAAAACAAAGAGTAATGCTAGAATCACAAACTACTGGGACACAAATTACACAAACTTGCTATTTATGTATCTCAATTTTCATTTTGTAAGCATTTAATATCACTTTATTCAATTGGAAAAGTACAAAAATAGCAAGTTTATGTAATTTGTGTCCCAGTAGTTTGTGACTCTAGCATTACTCAAAAACAAAAAAACAAAAAAAAAACATTTCAGCCTTACTCTTGCTACGCCGAAGAATTATCCGTCGCCGAAGGATCAGAGAGGAATTGCAGCGGCGCAAATTATCCGGCAAAATACATAAAGTGGTGCCACCTTCCCGAAAGCAATTGTTTCTCCGTGAAGCTTTAAAATCAATATTCCACATAGGGAGTATTGGTTAGTTTTGGGATTTGATTTAGTGAGAACAAATCCAAGCACTAAAAGAAAAACCCAATCTTTCAAGTTCAAGTACGGAGTGTAAATTTGGTGCTAATATTCAGCCTGGTTAGGCCAATTATTGTTGTCATCTACTCCATGATTAGCCACCCAGCCGCAAAAGTCCGACTCTGATTTGTCAGCCACCCAGGTAGCAAATCTGTTTATTTTCCATAACTATGGCGTTGGTTTTTGACGATATTATTGTGACGATGAACTATGCATTGGGCAAACTTCTTGACTTGTTAAAGAAGGTTCTTTATGGCGAAATTAAGCATGACGATGGGGTGTGTGCACTTTATGATCACATAGATGAAATTATAAAGAAGCTCCAGTTGTGCCATCTGACTACAGGTCAATCAAATTTTGTTTCTTCCTTGTACGAGTTCGATGTAGAAATTTCTTGTTCAGTACAGGACTTGGTTCGGGGTCCCCAATTGCACAGAGTCAGCTTCTTTGGGAATTACAAACTTTTAGAACAAACATGATGCACGCTATAAGGAATCTCATTGGTGCTCCATTTTCTCCGCCAAGGATGCCCCCAATATGTGACAGAACCAAACCCGTGCAGTGGTTAGCTAAGATGCCATCGGAGAAGGCTAGAGACGCATTTGTTCACATGGTGAAAGTCGCAACCACACTCCATGTCCCCATTGTGGAGGACATAGATGGGACAAATGAATCAAGCAAGGAATCTCATATCAAAGAGGATGATTATAGCGGGTCTAGCATAGTTGGCAATGATGGGGGTGCTATTGATGAAAATGATGGTGCTACTATTCAAAGTGACAAGCCATCTTACAAATCAGATTTTACACCCCATGACTTATATGTACCACTAAATAACTCAGTTGGGGTGACAATTGCAGAGTACGCGGTTCTAGCAAGTATCTTCAAGATGACAAATGCAGATAATAAGCGAGTGGACAAACTTATTCTATTTAATGACACCATTAAGTTGTTTGACATTGTGGATGTTGTCAAGACAGAGCACTTGGTTTCACCAAGAGCAAATACATGTGCTACGTGTCTTGTCTCATATTTCCATAACTTTGCTACGCGAGCCAAGATGGTTGAAGATTCCAAGAGTGGACTACTCCTTTGGTTTAGCACTATCTCTCCAGTCCAGAAGCACAAATGGGAGCCTCCACCTTGAGGACAAGGTAGTTTTTTAAAGGGGTGGGAATGATATGAAAATAGATTAGTTATAGTATTTATTAATTAGTACTCTTTATTATTATATTGTTAATCATGCTTAGGGTTTAGTACAGGCCCAAGCCCATTAGGTCAACTAGCGTAGCTTTACTATCTATATATTGTAATCCTTCCCCGATATTCAATCAATCAATAAAGAAATATTAAAACCCTAATCTTTTTCTCTATTCTCTTGAAGCCCGAAAACGCTCGAATTTTCCATCTTTCTCTACCTCATCTCCTTGGAGCTTGAAGAACGCTCAAAATTCTTCCCTATACGATATGATATTCGTATCACCAAATCAGACTAGAGCGAAGACCGAACAAGGAAAAGTGAGGACCGAAGACCGGACCGGAAATGCACACTCCTATAATGCACACTCAAACCAATAGCCTTATGTGCACAAGGAAAAGTGAGGACTGAATTGGATCAAATAATACACCGTCCTACCAATAGCCTTATGTGCTATTACTAAATACAGGGCCAATGCTATTACTAAATACAGGGCCAGGCCAGTGGTGAAATCGATGTCGGGAGTTTAGGGAGGAGGAATAGGGGTGTAAAAATCACGAATTGAACATCTTAGACATTTCGATTTAATGGTGTCACAAAGTCACACAAGTGATCCGGAATATAAAATTAAAAAATTAAAATCTTAACTTTTTAATGTAGTTATTATGATATTCAATTGTAATATTCTAATATTGTGATTTTTTGTGTGTATTAAGTGTTTTTTTTAAATTATTTATAAAAAAATTGTGTGTATTAACTATTACCACAATGTTAATTATTGTTTTAAAAAAATTTGTTTATAAAGTTTAACTTTTAGGGTGCACGGTATGAATGTAGCAAACCATATTTGGTACCAAAATTAGTTTATGTGGCAATTTGGCAAATAGAGTAACACATCCCTCTTTACTTGGTACCAAAGAAAATCAACAAACGAGTCTATGGTTTTACCCAGCATACCAACTTGAGTGACTATTTTTATTTTTAAAGAAAATACAATATTACTACATTTCCATTTACCCAATTTTATATTACCTCATTTATCATAATTAACTATTTCAACTTAATAGTACGTATACTTTTTTGACGAGTAAATTCCATAACTGGTCCTTTATAACAGGGGGTTTTCATATTTAATCATCTACTATCAAATATTACCCTCGTAATTCTTTTTTAAGGGTGTCTTTCCACAAATGATCCTTTTTTTATCTTCCGCCACGTGGGTGTTAATTTAAAGGCTAAAAGTATAATTGGACATCAACATTAAAAGAACTTGGTCTTACTTTTCTTTTTTACCTTAAATAAATTTGGCATATTTTGTGTCAAAAAGGGGGAGAAAAGGCTTAGTTCTTAAAAGATGCTTTAATCTTTTATGCGCATGGTGCACAATGTATTTTGCCAAAACATTGCCAAAGGGGGAGATTGTTAGTTCCATGGTGTTGGCTAATCTTTTGGCAAAATAGAATCCCATATTTGTTAGATGTTTTACTAGGTAGAAACCTCTATTTGTTAGGAGAGGTTTATTTTATTTAGACATCTAGAGCTGCTGCAGTTTTCGAAGTTGACGCAGAAGATGCTACAGCACGACGCTGCAACACAGTGCGCGGGATCAGAGGTCTGAGCACGAAATTTTAAGCTGCAATCTAAATTAGAGACCTATTGAGATTGTGATTCCATGATAATAACTCCAGCTGTATATGCTAAGGAATCCCAACTCTTAAGGCTACTTGTGGATCAAGATTAAGGAAGTAGAGTTCAAGCCAGCTTCTACTATCTTATTCCTAATAGGATTGTGTTAAGAGATGCCTATAAAAACGCAGCAGATCCTTGGGAATTAGGGGGAGCGATTGAGAAGGAAAACAAAGAATATACGCTGATGTAGAGCATTTCCGTCGCATCCCGAAGGTTCTCATGCGTGAAGAAGGTTACGATCTACATAAAGGAGGAGATCTTCAACGCCAAACAGATCGTGATGTCCAGGAGATGGACCAGAGCTAAACGAGTGGGCTGCCAATACGTTTGTCCTCGTGATCTCGGTGGAGATGTGATAGCCGAAGCGGATCTGAACAGAGTTCAGGTTAGAAATCCTAAATTAGAAGTTTTGTCATAGCAATTCGAAGAAGGGTGTCTCATCATGTTGTTATGTACCGGTGTAACTTGCATCTAGTGATTTAGTGGAGGGCTATTACACGGACGTGGGCCCTGCAAACTAGGAGAATTTGCTCCGAACTGCGTAAACATATATGGTGTTATTTTTTACGCATTTTATATTTACAGCATTCTGCCCAGCAGTAGACGCTGTAACATCGTCCTCTACATCATCTGCTTCTGTCTGTGTGTGCTTGTGACAGAGAAAAGTTATAGAACACTGTCTGTCATCTGTTACTGTGACAGTGATGCAGCGTCTTCTCTGCAGCATAGTTCGAGGATTTGTTTGCATAGCTCTTAATTGGTGATTTCCGCTGCGCCCTACGAACTTACTAACCATTCAGACTCTGTATAATACTTAACCATTCAGAGGCAAATCTCTTAACCATTCAGACATCTAAACAATTAAGAGGCTGAAACAAACAGTCTGAACCATTAAGTGCTGAACCATTCAGACATCTGAACCATTAAGAGGCTGAAACAAATAGCCCCTTAATGTTTCATTTTTTTGTGTTCTCGGTACCGGCCATGACCGACTTACATTAAGTAAATAATTAATTTATTTTTAAATTAAATGAGTAATTAATTAGCTATAAATGAGTAAATGGGCTTTTTTTGTGGAAAAATAGTACTCTCATTTGAAAGGGATTGAGCAATTAATTAGAGGTAGATAAAACCAAACCTGTGAGATTATTGTGGTCTAGAATAAGGGTATCCAGCTTTTGGAACCTCCCGATATCTTCGGGAATGGAGCCCACAAAGTTGTTCCGGTCAAGGCACACTGTGACCAGATTCGTGCAATCTGAGCCGTTGGATAAAGGGATCGGTCCGTCAAACTCATTGCCAGCTAAGTCAAGACTCGTCAATGCACGCCCGCAAAACCCGCCTTCAATTCTGCCCTTTAACGAATTGTTTGACAGGTCCAAAACCCTCAGGCCGCCGGAGATATTGCGGAGAGCGCCGCCTGTGACTCCGCCGGAAAATCTATTATCGGCGAGGCTCAAGACTTGGAGTTCCGGCAACTGGGAAAACAACCATGACGGGATCTCGCCGGAGATGCGGTTCGACCCGAGCTCCACCACGCGCAGCCGCCGCAAGTTACCCATTGTGTCCGGCAGACGCCCGGCGAATTGGTTGTGGCTCAAGTCGAGGACGTAGAGGGAGGAGAGGTTCCCGACCTGCGGCGGGATGACGCCGGAGAGTTCCATCTGAGAAATGTTCAACTCGACAACTCTACTGTCGCGTCGATTGCACGTCACTCCGATCCAGTGGCAGACGGAGAATGTCGGGGTCCAGTTCCCGGCCAGGACGCGCTGGGGGTCGGCGGTGATGGCGGCTTTCAGGAAAAGAAGGGCAGATTGGTCGCCGGCGATACCTGCCGGCGACGACACGGCCAGCTGGGGGATCAAGCATTGGTGCAAGTAGTAAAAGAGTGAGATGATTGTTATTCTCGCGGTCGTGGGAATGTATGACCCCATGGTCGGAAAATGAATAAATTTGCTCTCAATAAATAGTAAGAACTTTAATTCAATTCATCCTCCTATATAAAATGGTACGAGAACAGTATTCCAGCCTAAATGAAATGGGCCTGAGAACACTCTTCTGGGGCAAGTTGGGCTTATAAAATGGGCCACGGTCACTTTTTCATTTTCTGCCTTATTTATTTATATTAAATCTGAGTAAAGATTCGCAAATCGAAAATGCTAGGTGTACACCAAAAGTGTACTCTAAACATCCTCACTCCCTCCATAATCACACAAAAAGGCAAGTAAAATTCAAAAAAATTAAAAATAAAAATAAAATAAAATGAATAATAAAGAGTGGAGTGATGTATATATGGGGTACACCTAGCATCTCCAATATATTGATTACCGTGCCACAAGCAAGTCGAATCATTAAAAAAGATTTTCAAATTCCTTGGTAAATGTGCCAAATCTTTTAAAGGACACCAGTCACACCACTCCCCACTTCTATTTCATTACCATTCCTATAGGTATATATACATACGGAGTATATCTGTTTGTATTAGTCGATTTTTGGTTTCTTAGGCCATCTCCAATGAGATGCCAAAAGAGATGCTAGGAGGAGAGAGTGAGATATGTTAATGAATGCTACTATTGTAGATAAATGCCCAATAAAAATGGTCAAAAAGAAAAATAAAAAGAAGATGTTTGGCTTAGCACCCGATGCTTGAGAATGGAAGAATTGAGGCATTTGTTTTTTAAGTAGTGGTCCAATATGTATATGCCATGTGTCATAATTATTATTTTTTCAATTTGAAAGTTTGCATTTATATAGTTTTTTTTAAGGCGAAAGTTTTCTTCAAAGAATTAGATATGACAATGTTCTAGAATTCAAACTCTTTTTTAACGGATTGACTTTTTTTTTATTTCAAAAATTTTCTTAGGTATTTGTTTTTCTGTTTGTTTTGAAACAATATTAACTACATCATATATTAATTACATAAAAAACATTTTAAAGTATTTTACAACATATATCTAAGAAATTTAATTTTGTATCAATATCTAATATAAGTTTTATTTAATTAAAGACAAAATTTTATTAATTTAAATGTAAAAAGTCAAAATTAGATATATATTCTAGGACGAAGTAATATTAATAATAACGAGTAAATAATTAATTTTAATTAAAAAATATCATATAATAAATACTTATAATTAAGAAAATAAAATATAATTATATTTATATGGTCCCACTGCATTCATTGAATAAAATGAGGCATCCATATGAGATGCTACTATTGAAAGGTTTAGATGTTGAGAGAGGTGCTCAATTGGCATTTTAAAAGTAGAGTCCACACTTCAGC